AGATTCGATCGGCAGATGCAGCTAGTTCATCTATGGCATTGTTTTGAAATGAGACAAGCACTGCCTGCACCTGTTGAGGGAGTTTAGACAAGAAAAGTTGTCTAAATAGGCCATCATCGAAAGTTCGTTGGCCGATGACTTCTTTCATTCTAAGCAACATGTCCGTCGCAGAACCATGTTGCAAGTCGATATTGTTAAGGAGTTGGTCTAACCGTTGTCGATCAGTTAGGTCTCCTCGTTTTAAAATCGATAGCTTAAGCGATTCGTAAGGTTCGGAAACATCACTAGTGAACATACTAGGTGTTACGTACCTGTTAAACTCGCGCGGTAACGCCTTAACTACCGCGAGGAAACGTGTGCGCGAGTCCGTGATTCCGTGCATGCAAAAATCGGCTTCTGCATAGCAGAACCAGGACTCGATATTGTCGGGCCAAAATGGCGTTAACTGAATCGAAATAGGGGGAATAGACTTGAACTTAAGAACCTTGGGTGAGTGTTCCGTCATAGTAATATAGATATCGAAAAATGTCTAAGTAAAATATATCCGAGAAAAAAAATTCGCGAAAAAAGTATATCACAATATATAAAATTCAAATAAAGAATAACAATGAATAATAATGTTCCAAAATGGAACAGACTCACAGTATATTGACTTGGTGTACCAGATCACGTCGGGTTCACCAATGATGATGCAACGGATATTCTAGTTTTACAACTAGATACCAGTAGCACCTTCTAAATTCGGTTGTTACCAGTCAGATAGAAAATCAGAAGTCAAACGAGAAGAGGCAGGAAAGATATATTTGATTCGTTACCAATATATCGAGGACCTTTTCTATGAGCTGGCTAATGAAACGTAGGAGCTGTGTCCCACGCAGTATTGAAACGTGATCTGGTGCGGATGCATGACCGAAAGCCTTCAGCTAAACAAGTCCACTTAAACAACGTGGTCAGCATCCAATGTCGAACACTTAATGAGCTATTGATTTTGGGGAATTATTTACAGCTACAAGGGGTCCACCGACAACGTTGATGAAAGCTTTATCTGAAACTACACATAACTTTCCGAAATGAACCTGAGAATTTGTTTGGTGTTTCGGGAACCGCAGCATCTAAGAAAAGACACTTTTCCTGGCCCGGATATGGTTCAATCTGCTATACTGAGGTGAGGATGCAACGGATATTCAAGTTTTACAACTAGCTACCAGTAGCACCTTCTATATTCGATCGTTCCCAGTCAGATAGAAATCAGAAGTCAGACGAGAAGAGGCAGGAAAGATATATTTGATTCGTTACCAATATATCGAGGACCTTTTCTATAAGCTGTGTCCCACGCTGTGTTGAAACGTGATCTGGTACGGATGCATGACCGAAAGCCTTCAGCTAAACAAGTCCACTTAAACAACGTGGTCAGCATCCAATATCGAACACTTAATGAACTATTGATTTTGGGGAATTATTTACAGCTACAGAGGGAAGCAACTTTAATACTGGCAACACCGCTTAGCGTGATGTTCTCACGCTCGCTAAGCTTAAGCAAACTACTGGATATTTGAAAGCTTGCTCACATCAAGCAAGTTTTCGAGGCTTGCTTATTATCAAGCTTACGTTGCTGTTGCTAATACTCCAGGTAGGATTAAACTATACTGCCGAGCCAATCAGAAGCTTTCGCGGGTTTTCAAGGTCACGGCGGTAAGTTCGGTACCTGATGCTTACGTACGGTCGATTTGCAGCGGATTTTAGGGAAGACTTGAGAATTTAGCGTCTACAATAGAAGTGATCATAAGATTTCGGCGCAAAATTCAATTATCCATTTGGATAAATAGAGTTTTGGCATTATAGCTTATGTCAGTTCGTGATGAAAACCCTAAGTATAATTCCTAGCCTTAATCATGAACTGTAAATCATAATTTGAATTCTTCACACAGGTTTATAACCCCCATTTGGTCAAAGTTATTACATTGACACTCTCAGAGTCACTCTAGCGTCGCTCAAAGGTTGTCAATAACTTATAGTCTCACCCATAACCCTAAACCTTAACTCTAACCCTAACCCGTAAACCATATCAATATACTAACATTATTGAAGCTATGTGGTCGAGGCTAAAAGAATTTTTGAGACTTTATCATGGTTTCAGAGGTCGACTACTATGGAGCCATATGGATGTGTTCCTGTACCGTATGCACTATGATTTTAGAACTTCTGAATCTATATCTGACCTTGAGAAGTTTTTGACCCATGTAAAAGAAGTGTATCCACTTTAATTTTTTGGTTTTGTATAATATATTTTTACTGTATACTGTCTTCGGATTGGCTAATATTTCTCAAGGTCATTTAAGATTCGTTCGTTCGAAGGCCGGCAGTATAGTTTAATCCTACCGTTTATGAATTAAGATCAGGTGAATCAAAACATAGAGATACGCATTATTTAGCTCCACATTCGTTTTTGATGTTTTTTTTGCGTTAACTTGACTGTCAGAAAAGTGAGTCTTTCTAGTTTACCATATCTGTTTATTACAGCTAGATGTGTCGTACAATATAACACTAGATTCCAACCTGAAGATTTTTTTTTAGCAAAAACAAGAACTTTGATGTACCTTCATAGTATGTCTAGCAAGCAAGTTTGTCACGAGTTGTGCAAATTATGTTATTCTAAACAGTCTCTTAGTTAATAAAGTAATACAATATCCAAGTAATTGAAGAGCCTCCTACTTGAGTGTTAGATTATTTTTACCGAAAAACAGCATCAAACAATTTTGATGTTAATCACATTGAAAAGTCTTGTCTGAAATCAAATATCTGGACACCAGACGTCAAGATATTGATATGAAAACTTCGTATCCAGTTTCAAGAAATTATTCTTAAAGTTTAAAAACCGAGTACGTCAGTGAGTTTTTCGGAAGTTTTAAGCACCAAATAGTGATTCCACAGGACTATATCTAATGAATTTCTGGCGCATATAATTTGATCTCAAGTAAAATGAGAATTTTATACGTCTCCATTTCGCTCCGATCCGCTGTACACAACTATGATTATCTCAAAGTAATCATACTTAATCAACTCGTTTTATTTTTAAAGACTGATATTTTCAAACTGGCTTCGATTAATTCTATGTATAATGTTACTAGTAACTGTCATCATAGGTCTGTAGAAATTGTTAAATGTCATTGATATCGCGAACCAGCCCGAGTGAGATAAAAACTAATAACTAGGAATGAGTAGATGGACGTTTTTTCTTAGCACAGGACTCTCCAACAGTGCACACACACTACCCTGACATGTTCAAACCCAGAAATAAGTCTTGTGGCATATATTTGACCTCTAGACCACTGAGCTGGCATTAAGTGACCTGAACTTTTAGGGTTGGCCAGTTTGTATTATTGAAAAACCATCTTCCATTGTCTCCGATGGTTAAACGTCTCGCATCCGACACTGTTGAACTGCTACTAGTAACGAAGGCGATGATTTAATTAATGGGCAACATTGAAGTAACACGTAAGTGGGCCTGAAAAAATTCAACCACTTACTCCCGTCAAAACAGCTTGGTAACTTAGCTTGAGAGATTAAAATTAGTAGTTACATCTGGAACATTAGTATATAAATTAGAATTAGTGTTCTTATGACAAATTGGCATCTATGGTGTTAAAATGTTACTTAGCCATATGAATAGGTCGGTCCAATCTAATAAATTCGTTCGTAAATTGGTAACTGGATTTAACCTTTATGGGTGGTTCTCGAAATTATCTTCAATCTAGTTAATTTTCATCTTCAACTCTGGCAGTGTAACAATAAATCCTGAAATAGAAAACCTGAGTGCATTAGTTAGTTTTCTTTACAAGACAAATAAAATTATGATGAAACTAGTAAGTCAGTTAGTCAGCTACAACGTAGGAGCAGGCACATATATGCATCGGTCCAACTTACCTTACCTCATTAGCACAACAAGATGAACACCAAACTCATAGTAGTTAATTTAGCGGTGGTAATATATAAAAGAAAGGTTGTATATAAGGATACAGTACACGAAGAAAGATAGATATGAAGCAATTTTAATCTGAAGGTTTAAGGAAAGGCAAAGAGTGTATGCACCTACGCTATTGTGATCGATTCTGAGCCATGTCACTCAGAGTATCCAACCATTTGTTACGACAGTCACGCGGACCCCAACCAAGTAGTCTGCATTTACCAACGTGGCTCAGACTAGAGGTTAGTGATTTCAAGGACTGATGACACGTTTTGGTTTGGCTGCTCCCCACTTTCTTCCAACCATCTCCAATACTACTCGGCATTGCGCGTCGTGGTAATCGGTGTTCAGGCATACGTAACACATGGCCCAACCATCTTAGTCGACATAGATTCACAATCTCATCAACTGATTAACCTTCATTCCCTAATACTCTGTGTCTAACCTCACTATTACTTACCTGGTGATATATATATATATATATATATATATATATATATATATTTACTGATGTGATTTATAAAAATGTGTTATTCAGTAAACCTTTTGTAAAAGTTAATTGAATCACTTAAAAGGCTCTTTAAATTTGAGTACACTAAGTCAATGACTATTTTCTACCTAGTTCATCCATTTTACATTTTTGAAACCTTTAAGCACTTATCGTATTTCCTTTGCAATTTTATTAGTAACTGAATACGGATACAAATAGATTTTCATGTTATGTTGGATGCATATTCAAAACTCCTGCTAATCTTGATGACTAAGGTCTTGAGTAGAGCCACTCTTCAACTCACTTTGGTATTTGCAGTAATCAAAATACCTTAGAAAAGTTCTAAGAGGAAAATAAAGAATGATTGCATAAAATATACTTCGTTTGCCTATTGTATTTCTACCTACTAATTATCTTTTTTTCACTTACTACTATCAGTCATGTCCTTAATTTTTCGCATAACCATACTCAAATCTTTGATTAAATTATCTTTTGTAGTTTCATGGTTGTAAATTTGATCAATAATACCCGTTATTACTTCTCATAATGTCCGCGAAATCATCTGATAACAAATTCTCATCTGTTATTCAAATAAATACGATAGATGATTACATTGCTCCCACACAGGTCAGATTTGTTTCTCAGTAAATTAACTATTTTAGGCATGTATTAAACCAGTGAGGATCGATAAATCTTTTGGAAAGACCAGATCTGTTAAAGTTGAAGAAGATGGTTCTTACACGGCTGTAACTGAGGTATTTTGTGTTTCTGGTTAGCACGATCTCACAGGACGGGAGTAAATACTCCTTACAAAAAGCATCCATCAATCTCAATGACTGTTTGGCTTGTAGTGGTTGTATAACTTCTGCAGAGACCATTCTCATATCCGAACACAGCTCTACCGTATTTTCTGATATTTTGTTGCAAAATAAGTCCAAAAAGGTATGGTTCTTAATATACTTAAGAATTAAAGGTAAACGATCGGAGCATAATAGTTGTTTCGTTGTCACCACAAACCATTGCCAATTTATTGAGCCATGTAACAGCCCTTCCTGAAAGTAAATTGGCTAGAGCATTTCGCTGTTTTCAAGTCAGTAATTCCCTATCAAAGCCGGATATGAGTACTTTCAGGACTTTTATTGCTTCGTGTCTCTTTTCTATCGGGGTTCATTTGGTTACCGACGTTACTTGGGCTCGTGACATATGTCTTTATGAAGCGGGATTAGAATTCATAGAGCACTTCAAAAAACGTGATGATAAATGCGCAGATACTTTGCCCTTGTTTTCCAGTATTTGCCCAGGTAATATTAGTATTTCACACCCATAAATAGCAAACTTTATTTTCATTTGTATTCGGTGCATATTGTATATTTTATTCTCATTCCTACAGATAGCACTCATGATATTATTTTAAATTTATCTTCTTGTACACCACATAACCTTACGAAACTGTAGAGATGAAAGCTACATTTTGCTGACATTAGTACTGTGAAAAAATATCAAGATCATCTGTTGTTGTTTTTTAGTTTATGAATTTAAGTACGTATTTGGCTCTACAAGAATCGTATTTCTCACTAGCCTTAGCCTTATTCACGTGAGTTTCGTTTATTTGTTAGGAGCGTATTGGGAAAGGCAAATGTTACATTCATAATTTGTTCTTATGAGAACTTATTCTTAACGTATTTCAGTCTAGTACGTTGAGCTCCCCTCCGCTAGCTTTGAGGTTCTTCTCTTGTATTTTTTTATACACAGCATCATATCTAGGTTGCTGTATCACCACTTAGTTTCTTACTGTTCTATAGTTTGACTTAATTAGAAATCCTGGTCTGACTGATTTAGAATGAATTCGTTCGAATAAAGACATTTAAAACAAACAGACTAAATAAGGTGGATATTGCATAAGTCCGGGATGCTATACATCGAAATAGTAAGTTAAAACAGTCATTGAGCGGCTAAAATGGCTACTGAATCATATCAACCATAGTCTCCGTGAATAATCACCTAGTAGCTGGCATTTATGCACATAACTCTTATGAAACAGATAATTTGTTCTGTTTGTCTTGAGGCTTTTTCTCCCTATTCTCGACAAAGTATATGGATCTTTTCAGTAAATCACGGTTGTTGCATATAATTCTAAATATGATTAACATCAGTCACTTAACACTTCCACTATAAGCCAACAATCCTTCGAATACACCGATAGTTGAATATTTGTGCTTTCTAGAATTAGTTCAGAATGTGACGGGAATATGATGTGACCGTATGAACCGATAGAGACTTCATCCAGGTCATATATTGCTAACTGTTTGATACATTTTTTATTCTAATTTTACCACTTTTATATCTTGAACAAATAGTAGTAGTTCGAACTGTTTAAGAGGGGAGAGATCAAAATAATACCTAGAAATATTTGTAAAACTCATCCCTTTAGATGTATTTTCAAACTAAAAACGAAGTACTAAATGTTACATGCGGAATTTTTCTATATTTTTGTGGTTAATATTATTAGTACCCGATCGTTGCTGATACCTTGACGTGGTGGTCGGGCTCACCTATTGTGATGAACCAATCAATCCATACTGGCTGGAACGATCGTTCCTCAAGGTCCTACCATGCCAGAGAGGTCGGTTGAAGAACGGTAAGACTAAAAGCAGCAAACCCAAGGTCTGAAGGCGAAGTCGTACTGCTGACTGTACAGAGGTGTGACGGCAGTAAGTTGTTTCCTTCAGATAACCAGCATCACAGCGATACTGCCTTCCACAAGGAGGGATGGGGTTAGGAAAGATCGACCCTAAATTTGCACACCTAGCCTTATCCCACGGATATCCTTCTCCAGCAGTAAAGTCCCAACAATTACGAAGCTAACACAAAAATTAACCACAAAAAGGTCGTGCGTGACAGGCCTCAATCAGTTGTCCCATGGGCACTGCGGTCACTCTCTCAGTTCATTAAAACCACTTCTAATCCAATTTTCTTTTCAGGTACCTCTAGAAGAACCTTTCCACTATGTGGGCAACCGGGAAGTTATAACCGCCCTCATACCTCTAGCAGCACTTAAAATCACTTTATTCATAATCAGTCTCCCTCTTCAATTCCCATTATTCCTCCTACTTTGAATTTCAACTCTAAACTTCCTCTTTTGGCTTCCTCCTCAATTGTCACAATAGCTAACGATTCCTGTGCGCAAAACACTGTCCTAGGTCTACTGAAACCTCGCTCCAAATTACACATTGAAGCCTTCAACGTACACACCCTATGTCAAATCAACCAGCAGGCCTCCTTGGCTAAAACCCTAGAAACTCTTACCATCGATTTATGCTGTGTCTCCGAAACACACATACAAGATGCTAGTGTGGTCATTCACTTAACCTCACCTCACCAAAATGGAGAGCCAACGAGATACATCCTCCGTGTATCTGGCGACCCAATGGCTAGTTCTCGTGGACTTGCAGGTATAGGCATAGCACTTGGTACGAGGGTAGAACAAGCATTAGTAGAATGGATCCTCGTTAACAGTCGCCTGTGCGCTGTTCGGCGTTTCTCCCCATCCAAATGTAAATTGTTACTCCAGGACTGGCTTGCGTCAACACTCGAACTAAGGATAGGAAGTGAAGTAGTCGAACACGTCGACAACTTCACTTATCTTAGAAGTCTGGTCAGCCCTAACGGGTTAGTGTTCGACGAAATCTCAGCACGGATACAGAAAGCTCGTTTGGCTTTTGCCAACTCACGTCACCTATGGCGAAAACGAGATATTTGTCTATCAATTAAGGGACGAGTATACTGCGCAGCAGTTCGCTCTGTCCTACTTTACGGCTGTGAAACATGGCCATTAAGAGTAGAAGATACTCGTAGGTTACTAGTATTTGACCACAGATGCCTTAGAAATATTGCTCGCATCTGCTGGGATAACCGGGTAAGTAATAGTGAGGTTAGACGCAGGGTATTAGGGAACGATGGTAAATCAGTTGATGAGGTGATGAATCTTCATCGACTGAGATGGTTGGGCCATGTGTTACGTATGCCTGAACACCGATTACCACGACGCGCTATGATGACTAGTATTGGGGACGGTTGGAAGAGAGTTAGGGGCGGCCAAACCAAAACATGGCATCAGTGTTTGAAGTCACTAACTTCTAGCCTGAGCCATGTTGGCAGATGCAGACTACCTGGTTGGGGTCCGCGTGACTATCGTAACCAATGGTTGGAGACTCTAGGTGACATGGCTCAGAATCGGTCACAATGGCGTAGGTGTATACACTCTTTATCTTCCCTTAAACCTTGAGACTAAAATTGCTTCATATCTCTCTTCCTTCCTGTACTATATCCTTATATACAACCTATAATTTATATACTACTACCAACACTAGATTAACTACTATGAATCCGGTGTTCCTCTTGTTGTGCTAACGAGGTATGGCAACTTGGACCGATGCATATATGTGCCTGGTCCTACGTTGTAGCTGACCTGACCTGTTCGGCTAAACGGCTCCGTAAAGGCTCGGAAAGATAGGGACACACATCGTTGCCTTTTCGTCGTTTCTGCCTACGCTCCCACTGACTGCACCTCAGATCAAGTAAAAGGTGACTTTTACAGAGAGCTTTCTGAACTTTTTCAAAAAGCTAAGCTCTCAGACATAGTACTCGTAGCAGGTGACATTAATGCCCAATTAGGTAGCTTAAACCAAACAGAAAGACATTTAGGTGGGTGTCTTAGTATCCCAACTAAGCGAGCAGATAATGGTGATCGTCTGTTGCAACTATGCTCAGACAATCGTTTATTTTTAGCAAGCACTAACTTTAAGCATGAAGAGAAACATCGTCTAACATGTCGACCACCTTCACCGAACCAACGATGGACTCAAATAGACCATATTGCTATCAGTCATCGTTGGAGAGGCTCTACAGAAGATTGTCGCTCGTGCTGGAGTACATGATTGGACTCTGATCACGCTTTAATACGAGCACGCATTTGTCTGCGCCTCACTGGACACAGAAAAACCACACTAAGAAGACCCATTAGAATTGAACTGAGTGACGAGAAAGTCAAAAGTAAGTTTCAGGAATAACTGAGTTCACATCTAGGCAGTTCTGTAAACAGGACTAACCCAGATGTTTCTTGGAAAGATTTACAAACAGCTGTGGAAACAGCAGTAAAATCTATTAGTAATTTAAACCATACGATTCCAAAAAACCAATGGATTTCCTCTAAGTCTATTTCGCGGATGGATTCTCTTAAACTCATCCCATCAGGCTCTGAACACGACGAAGAGCGAAAACAAATCAGTTCTAGGTTAACTAAAAGTCTAAGGTACGATCGTGAGCAGTGGTGGGCAACGAAAGCAAGAGAGATGGAAAAGGCAACTCTTCAGACTAATAAAAGAAACCGGAATTAAGAAGCCAAGTGTAAGCGAAACAATCTCGGAAAAAGACGAAATTCTTATCTTCTCTCAGCTCAAACGTTTAGAACGATGAACGGAACACTTTAAAGAACAGATTAGCTGGCTTTCAGCTATTCTACAGGTACCCACCATTCCCAAACAGTCTGAATGAAACATTGAAGTAGGTCCTCCAACTCTAGCTGAAGTTCAAAAGGCCATAGATAATCTGAAACGAGGGAGAGCACCTGGTTCAGATGGATTGGCTCCCGAGGTCTTTAAATATGGTGGTCCAATTTTGGCGATTAGGTTGACTAATATTTTAGGTAAAATCTGGGAGTTGGACGTAATCCTGTCCGACTGATCACAATCACTGATCGTCCAAATATATAAGAAAGGGTCGAAATCATCCTGTGATAACCATAGAGGGATTAGTTTGACTAATATAGCATCTAAAATACTAGCCTCAATAATTATCGGGCGCCTAACTAAGACTCGTGAACTGCAAACACGAGAAAATCAGGCTGGCTTCAGACCTGGTCGAGGCTGAATCGACCACATATTCACTATTCGTCTAGTTTTAAAACACACATGTTTATCGGCGTCTGACAATAGTAGTTTTTCTTGACTTAAAAGCTGCATATGACTCTGTAGACCGAGATGACCGGTGGCAGTGTGTCATTGAAAGGTGTACCCCAGAAGTACATAAACCTTGTGAAGGCTCTTTACTTGAACACTACCAGTCGAGAGAGAGCTTATGACGAACTGTCATCTGATTTTACAACCTCAAGTGGTGTCCGGCAAGGTTGTCTACTATCCCCAAATTTGTTTAACCTCATTATAGAACTGCTGAAAATAAAGCTCTCGTTGACTGAATTTTCAGGAATTGATCTCCTATCAGGAGGTCCACTTATCGACTTAGAATACGCAGATGACATAGTCCTGTTTGGTGAAGACGCTGGCAAAATGCAGAGTCTTCTGTTGGAACTCAGTAATAATGCCAGGATGTTTGGGATGCACTTCTCCCCATCTAAATGTAAATTGTTACTCCAGGACTGGCTTGCGTCAACACTCGAACTAAGGATAGGAAGTGAAGTAGTCGAACACGTCGACAACTTCACTTATCTTAGAAGTCTGGTCAGCCCTAACGGGTTAGTGTTCGACGAAATCTCAGCACGGATACAGAAAGCTCGTTTGGCTTTTGCCAACTCACGTCACCTATGGCGAAAACGAGATATTTGTCTATCAATTAAGGGACGAGTATACTGCGCAGCAGTTCGCTCTGTCCTACTTTACGGCTGTGAAACATGGCCATTAAGAGTAGAAGATACTCGTAGGTTACTAGTATTTGACCACAGATGCCTTAGAAATATTGCTCGCATCTGCTGGGATAACCGGGTAAGTAATAGTGAGGTTAGACGCAGGGTATTAGGGAACGATGGTAAATCAGTTGATGAGGTGATGAATCTTCATCGACTGAGATGGTTGGGCCATGTGTTACGTATGCCTGAACACCGATTACCACGACGCGCTATGATGACTAGTATTGGGGACGGTTGGAAGAGAGTTAGGGGCGGCCAAACCAAAACATGGCATCAGTGTTTGAAGTCACTAACTTCTAGCCTGAGCCATGTTGGCAGATGCAGACTACCTGGTTGGGGTCCGCGTGACTATCGTAACCAATGGTTGGAGACTCTAGGTGACATGGCTCAGAATCGGTCACAATGGCGTAGGTGTATACACTCTTTATCTTCCCTTAAACCTTGAGACTAAAATTGCTTCATATCTCTCTTCCTTCCTGTACTATATCCTTATATACAACCTATAATTTATATACTACTACCAACACTAGATTAACTACTATGAATCCGGTGTTCCTCTTGTTGTGCTAACGAGGTATGGCAACTTGGACCGATGCATATATGTGCCTGGTCCTACGTTGTAGCTGACCTGACCTGTTCGGCTAAACGGCTCCGTAAAGGCTCGGAAAGATAGGGACACACATCGTTGCCTTTTCGTCGTTTCTGCCTACGCTCCCACTGACTGCACCTCAGATCAAGTAAAAGGTGACTTTTACAGAGAGCTTTCTGAACTTTTTCAAAAAGCTAAGCTCTCAGACATAGTACTCGTAGCAGGTGACATTAATGCCCAATTAGGTAGCTTAAACCAAACAGAAAGACATTTAGGTGGGTGTCTTAGTATCCCAACTAAGCGAGCAGATAATGGTGATCGTCTGTTGCAACTATGCTCAGACAATCGTTTATTTTTAGCAAGCACTAACTTTAAGCATGAAGAGAAACATCGTCTAACATGTCGACCACCTTCACCGAACCAACGATGGACTCAAATAGACCATATTGCTATCAGTCATCGTTGGAGAGGCTCTACAGAAGATTGTCGCTCGTGCTGGAGTACATGATTGGACTCTGATCACGCTTTAATACGAGCACGCATTTGTCTGCGCCTCACTGGACACAGAAAAACCACACTAAGAAGACCCATTAGAATTGAACTGAGTGACGAGAAAGTCAAAAGTAAGTTTCAGGAATAACTGAGTTCACATCTAGGCAGTTCTGTAAACAGGACTAACCCAGATGTTTCTTGGAAAGATTTACAAACAGCTGTGGAAACAGCAGTAAAATCTATTAGTAATTTAAACCATACGATTCCAAAAAACCAATGGATTTCCTCTAAGTCTATTTCGCGGATGGATTCTCTTAAACTCATCCCATCAGGCTCTGAACACGACGAAGAGCGAAAACAAATCAGTTCTAGGTTAACTAAAAGTCTAAGGTACGATCGTGAGCAGTGGTGGGCAACGAAAGCAAGAGAGATGGAAAAGGCAACTCTTCAGACTAATAAAAGAAACCGGAATTAAGAAGCCAAGTGTAAGCGAAACAATCTCGGAAAAAGACGAAATTCTTATCTTCTCTCAGCTCAAACGTTTAGAACGATGAACGGAACACTTTAAAGAACAGATTAGCTGGCTTTCAGCTATTCTACAGGTACCCACCATTCCCAAACAGTCTGAATGAAACATTGAAGTAGGTCCTCCAACTCTAGCTGAAGTTCAAAAGGCCATAGATAATCTGAAACGAGGGAGAGCACCTGGTTCAGATGGATTGGCTCCCGAGGTCTTTAAATATGGTGGTCCAATTTTGGCGATTAGGTTGACTAATATTTTAGGTAAAATCTGGGAGTTGGACGTAATCCTGTCCGACTGATCACAATCACTGATCGTCCAAATATATAAGAAAGGGTCGAAATCATCCTGTGATAACCATAGAGGGATTAGTTTGACTAATATAGCATCTAAAATACTAGCCTCAATAATTATCGGGCGCCTAACTAAGACTCGTGAACTGCAAACACGAGAAAATCAGGCTGGCTTCAGACCTGGTCGAGGCTGAATCGACCACATATTCACTATTCGTCTAGTTTTAAAACACACATGTTTATCGGCGTCTGACAATAGTAGTTTTTCTTGACTTAAAAGCTGCATATGACTCTGTAGACCGAGATGACCGGTGGCAGTGTGTCATTGAAAGGTGTACCCCAGAAGTACATAAACCTTGTGAAGGCTCTTTACTTGAACACTACCAGTCGAGAGAGAGCTTATGACGAACTGTCATCTGATTTTACAACCTCAAGTGGTGTCCGGCAAGGTTGTCTACTATCCCCAAATTTGTTTAACCTCATTATAGAACTGCTGAAAATAAAGCTCTCGTTGACTGAATTTTCAGGAATTGATCTCCTATCAGGAGGTCCACTTATCGACTTAGAATACGCAGATGACATAGTCCTGTTTGGTGAAGACGCTGGCAAAATGCAGAGTCTTCTGTTGGAACTCAGTAATAATGCCAGGATGTTTGGGATGCACTTCTCCCCATCTAAATGTAAATTGTTACTCCAGGACTGGCTTGCGTCAACACTCGAACTAAGGATAGGAAGTGAAGTAGTCGAACACGTCGACAACTTCACTTATCTTAGAAGTCTGGTCAGCCCTAACGGGTTAGTGTTCGACGAAATCTCAGCACGGATACAGAAAGCTCGTTTGGCTTTTGCCAACTCACGTCACCTATGGCGAAAACGAGATATTTGTCTATCAATTAAGGGACGAGTATACTGCGCAGCAGTTCGCTCTGTCCTACTTTACGGCTGTGAAACATGGCCATTAAGAGTAGAAGATACTCGTAGGTTACTAGTATTTGACCACAGATGCCTTAGAAATATTGCTCGCATCTGCTGGGATAACCGGGTAAGTAATAGTGAGGTTAGACGCAGGGTATTAGGGAACGATGGTAAATCAGTTGATGAGGTGATGAATCTTCATCGACTGAGATGGTTGGGCCATGTGTTACGTATGCCTGAACACCGATTACCACGACGCGCTATGATGACTAGTATTGGGGACGGTTGGAAGAGAGTTAGGGGCGGCCAAACCAAAACATGGCATCAGTGTTTGAAGTCACTAACTTCTAGCCTGAGCCATGTTGGCAGATGCAGACTACCTGGTTGGGGTCCGCGTGACTATCGTAACCAATGGTTGGAGACTCTAGGTGACATGGCTCAGAATCGGTCACAATGGCGTAGGTGTATACACTCTTTATCTTCCCTTAAACCTTGAGACTAAAATTGCTTCATATCTCTCTTCCTTCCTGTACTATATCCTTATATACAACCTATAATTTATATACTACTACCACCGCTAAATTAACTACTATGAGTTTGGTGTTCATCTTGTTGTGCTAATGAGGTAAGGTAAGTTGGACCGATGCATATATGTGTCTGCTCCTACGTTGTAGCTGACTGACTGACTAATATTATTGGTCGCTACTAATGCAAGTGTTATATCCATTTGCTGATTAGTGTGAAAATGATACCGTAGTGTGGGTTGCTCACACCCACATAAGTAGTATATGACGATGGTCAGGCATTGAATGTATTACGGTAGAAGATCGTTAACGAAAGAACGGAAACGAAATGCAATTGTTATGTTAGTGCATGAACAAATATATTTAGAGACTATGGACTGATATTTGCTAAAGAAACGGTCAAGAATGAGACAATTGATTGTTTGCAAATTAAATGTTAACTGTATGGTTGTCAGATTTTATTGAGATGGTCTGTAATTTTCGTGTCAAATACATTCAATTTTCCCCACCCGTTTTCTTGTTCACTACCATACTACTAGTTAAACCTAGGTCTGTGATTGCTATTCCGTACTGTGTACGAAAACCACAATGTTTGAGCTGGAAAATATTTGGTATTGAGAACGCAGGTGTAAAAGCTGTTTGACGTTTATTTTTACTGTTTTAAAGGTTGGATATGTTATGCTGAAAAGAGTCCCCTTACTTCATCCATCCTGTCAAGCTCTGGGTACCGTGAATTCTCAATTATCCCTCATATATCAAATGTTCGTTCTCCGCAGCAAATAGCAGGCAGGGTAATTAAACTTTTAGGTGAAGAGAAATGTTTTCATGTCAGTATTATGCCTTGTTTTGATAAGAAGTTAGAAGCATCTAGAGAGGAGTTTTCGGTACCTTCAAAAAGTATTTCTGACTTTTATGTCCCAGATGTTGATTTGGTCTTGGCTACCAATGAACTGCTTTGCTTCCTTGAATCATTAATTGACGAATCTAGTGATACCGTCTTGTTTTCTTTTGCTGAACACACATCTGAAGTTGGAGAAAGTCAGCGGTTGATATTAGAGAGGTATGGATTTATTTTTTGAGATGTATGTCTGTAGTTACTACTATTATGTATCATGTCTGTTTCTATTAAACTTGAACTATACTTAACCTTGGATATGTAAAATCGCAACCATGTCCCTTAACTTGTGTAAAACCAGCGTTAAAAGCATTAAATCACTTGTTAAGTACTAGGCAATGTTTCCGAGACTATTCTTCGATGAATTATAATAATGTTGGTGGATTTAACTCAAATATCTTTTTTTTTCCTGAACCTGTTGGGCTTTTTGTTGTGTTAATTAAATCGACCTGAATACTATAGAACTATCACTTCAAGTATTTACAAAAGCCTGTTAAAACTATAATTCGTAACTACATTTTTTATTTCATATGCACAACTCCTTATTGCTGAACAGTTGAATTTTTAAAATTATGTTCTATTCAGAATAATCAAACTTATGTAGCTCAAGGAATCCCTACGACATAACGAATTCACATTCTGCAGATGTTATTGTGCTCACTATATATTCAAATCAAAATACATCCACAGATTTAGGGAGTGGTGACTTTCGTTGATAATTCTAATTTTAAACTAAAGGAAATTGATATTAGTCACGCTAGTTATTCTGCAGCGTTCTTTAATCTATAGAAACAAGAAACTAAATTCCAAATACTTTCCTTGTTTTCTAGATTATATGAAATATTTTGTGTGAAAATGTCGCAGGAGAAAACCGGTGTTGCATTTGATCATTTTCCTTTGCGAGTCAACGGAATGCTTCCTATGTATAGACACAGTGGGAGTGGTTCAGGTGGATACGCGGCATGTATTCTAAAGATGGCAGCAGAAGAACTATTCTCGGTCAAATTAAAGCCTGACATATTAAAGGATGAACGTGTGTTAACTCGCTATTTACAAAATCGAGATATTCAGGTTGGTTTGTAGTCTTTTGTTTTACAAGGGACATATTTCTATTTTCCTTAAGACATCGATTAATTTCGAAAATACATTACCGTCGATAATAAGTCACTTTGTTGGCCTTCCTCAGTTCACCTGCATTGGTTTAAATTGTATTCGATAGAATTTTTGAGGGAATACCTTAAACATAAATCATTTGTTGTGTTACTCAGTCCAATTTCTCAATATTTAATATGCATGCTGTAAACAGTACTAAGACTTCAATCTTTAATGCAAAGCTACGTATGTATGGTTAACTGCATGCAATATTCAAAATAAAGTGAATAATCAACGATCGTTTTGTCTCTTGTTGGCTAAATATTCACATCACGTTGTCCTCCTGACCACAGGTTTGTTTTGTTTTATTTCAAGGAATTAATCTTGTTTAACTCAAAAGAAGACCGTAATTTGGCGGAGTCTCTGCTATCATCTCTTTCAAATCGAACACCTTACCGTCACTTTGAAACCCAACCAAAAGCAATGTTAATATTTGGGATAGCTAATGGATTTCGTAATATCCAAACTATTGTTCAATATCTGCGAAAAACGTATCAATTTAAAAAATGCGATGACCCAGAGTTAATAAAGTCCAGACAAATAAAAGTCCACTATCCGTTTGATTATGTAGAGGTGATGGCATGTCCAAATGGTTAGTTAAATGTTTTCTTAGATTACCTGTATTGAATTCAACGTTGATAGGAGACTACTTGATCATATCTGAGTTCACCGAAATATATTTACGCCTTTCAGTTTCTATCAAAGCCGGTACGATTGGATACAAGATCATCTGTTGGATATCTGGTAATATATTTTTCTGAGAGATCAACAAATGAACCAGTTCTAGCTGAGTTAAATGTTAGCACAGTTCACGTTGAAATGAGCAGACACTGTAGTAGCCCTTCTTACGTATATGCACCATGTATCCCGCTGTATAAAACGGGAAACTTGTTCACGTAAATCCAACGCATCTTAAGTACTGTATAATTTCGATAATGCAATGAGAAGACGAAGATTATCAGAATTATGTGATATATTAGCGCAATACATTTCGAACAATCTGATCACACATATACTTGTTAAGACATTTTTTATATGAAAATTAAAAGGTCAACTAGACAGGTTAAGGTAAGAAAATAAATAAAGTACACAAAAACAAAGTGATGACTACTCTGGATAATAAATAAGCATTACCAGGGTAGGTTAAGGGTAAGAACAAATTGTTTTTGAACACATAAAGGGGGTTTCAATTTCCGTATAGCCAAGGCTTCAATAAACCTTAGTATACGTCCTTGAAGGCTTTTGTACAACACTACAAATGCTGATTTGATGTCAACCTTATGACCAGTTTCAACTAAATGTTTCGCAATAGAGGAAGATGTTTGTCTGTCCTGTGATCTTATTTGACTATTCGAATTCATTTGGTTCTGTAGCCATTTAGGTATGTGTTCCACCACCCTTATTTGCAAATCACGATTGCTCCTCCCTATGTACGTGTTTCCGCACATACATGTAAATTGGTATACACAATGGGATGTGACACAATCGCTTATATGCTGTCTAGGTTTTTGGTGAAATATCGACCTTGTCTTTTCAATGATGACAAGTTGAGCTGCATAGAATGTCCTATTTATGGCTAATTTTAGTCTCCGTCTTAAAATGAGACTATTAGAGTCACTTCTAAATGGTAATGTAATATAAACTCGCTTTTTGGGTGCCAGAAGCGTAATAGGTCTAATCGTATTGCAACCCTTCCAGCGGTTTATGAACTTAAATGAATAACCGTTATTCATTAACGTATTAGTTAGACGCTTCGTTTCTATTTCAATAGTATCACTAGTACAAATACGATTGATTCTATTGAATAAGCCCTTAATTAACCCACGTTTGTAATGAATTGGGCAGTGACTATGGAAATTAAGGTATTGCCCCGTCCATGTCTGCTTTCTATAAATAGAACGTTGGATGGAACCATCTTCTCTTCTACTGATCAGTATATCTAGAAAAGGAAGTTGGTTGTTCTTCTCTTCCTCGCACGTCAGAGAAATATGCTTCTGACTTGCATTGAGTTCTTTTAACAAGTGGTTCAAGTCTTCACATTTATCCCCTATGATTATGATATCATCAACGTATCGTCTATACAGACACATCTTTTGGATTGAGTTTTCAGCTAAATTTTCAACATACCCCATGAACACATCCGCCAGCAACGGTCCTAAAGGACTACCCATAGCTACGCCATCAATTTGTCGAAAGTGCTCACCTTGAAATGTGAATTTTACATTGTCAGTGCACAATAATAATAAATCTTTAAGAGTTTCAACAGGAAATGGCAATGGAAGATTATTAAGTGAAATATAGTCACATAAAATATCAATAGTTTTTCTCAGGGGTACATTTGTAAATAAAGTATTCACATCAAAAGAACACATTGTCTTTGTTTTTATATTCATATCCTTTAAGTATTTAATTAAATCAAATGAGTCAATCAAGGAATACTTACAAAATTGATGTCGGATAGGATTTAATATTTTTGTAAGCCATTTCGCTAGTTTGTGGGTAGGTGACCGACACATTGATAGAATTGGACGTAAAGGGATATTAGGCTTATGTATTTTTGGCAATCCATATAAATGAGGATACACCGAACCCATAGGTTTTAATAAATGAAACTCATCTTTGTCAATAGCGTTCATGTTTAACAATTTTGTTAGATTCGAGTTTACTTTCTTTTCTAATTTATGTAGTCCATCAGAGTCAACATCAGCCATGAATTTGCTCTTATCACTGAGAATCAATTCCATTTTATCTATGTAATCGGACTTATTCATAATTACCACACCAGATCCTTTATCGGGTTTAAGTATAATAATATCGGCATTGTTTCGCAATTCTTTTAAGGATTTGAAGTGCTGAGAAGTTAGTATGCTTCTCTGCTTCGGTTCAGAGGAGTGAAATTGATGAGCTATGTCCACTAATTTAGCTTTAAACCAACTTTGATTCTCTGAGGATGAGGGGGTTAAAGTACTCAATTGATCATAAAGGTTTTCAAATTGGGCGTTAATTGTCAATTCAGAAATTTGTGTAATAGGGACAGAAAAGTTGAAACCCAGAGAAAGTGCCTCCTTTTCATGAACGGACAATACAATAGAGGATAAATTTGTGACATATTTATCAGGATTATTTGGGAAGGAAGTGAGATTATTATTATTGTTACAGAAAGATTTTTCCAGCTTTTTCCTGATCCCTTCTTTCGTTTTCAAAGTGACAGTACTACAAAAATTGATGAATTTGATATGGCAAACTATAGACAATTCTGCTAACACAGGTAATGCTTGAGTATGCAGTTCAATTAAATTAATCAACTTATCATGGCATTTGTCTATGAAGGATTTTGTCAGTCGAATAAGATTTGGAATATTTGGTTGTAATTTACTTGAACGAAGATTCTTACATAAATGATTCGGGAAAATGTGATTTGACAAACAAGATTTATAAAATTCCAGTTTCACTCGTTCCGATATAATTTTGCACTTAAGGTTAACAAATTCATCTAACCTTTTTATAATTTGTGTAGGGAGTCTTCTTTTCAAGAATTTAAAACAATTAGTCCCTTTGATAAATTTCGATAATGCAATGAGAAGACGAAGATTATCAGAATTATGTGATATATTAGCGCAATACATTTCGAACAATCTGATCACACATATACTTGTTAAGACATTTTTTATATGAAAATTAAAAGGTCAACTAGACAGGTTAAGGTAAGAAAATAAATAAAGTACACAAAAACAAAGTGATGACTACTCTGGATAATAAATAAGCATTACCAGGGTAGGTTAAGGGTAAGAACAAATTGTTTTTGAACACATAAAGTGATACACATATAGTGATACTATTGAAATAGAAACGAAGCGTCTAACTAATACGTTAATGAATAACGGTTATTCATTTAAGTTCATAAACCGCTGGAAGGGTTGCAATACGATTAGACCTATTACGCTTCTGGCACCCAAAAAGCGAGTTTATATTACATTACCATTTAGAAGTGACTCTAATAGTCTCATTTTAAGACGGAGACTAAAATTAGCCATAAATAGGACATTCTATGCAGCTCAACTTGTCATCATTGAAAAGACAAGGTCGATATTTCACCAAAAACCTAGACAGCATATAAGCGATTGTGTCACATCCCATTGTGTATACCAATTTACATGTATGTGCGGAAACACGTACATAGGGAGGAGCAATCGTGATTTGCAAATAAGGGTGGTGGAACACATACCTAAATGGCTACAGAACCAAATGAATTCGAATAGTCAAATAAGATCACAGGACAGACAAACATCTTCCTCTATTGCGAAACATTTAGTTGAAACTGGTCATAAGGTTGACATCAAATCAGCATTTGTAGTGTTGTACAAAAGCCTTCAAGGACGTATACTAAGGTTTATTGAAGCCTTGGCTATACGGAAATTGAAACCCCCTTTATGTGTTCAAAAACAATTTGTTCTTACCCTTAACCTACCCTGGTAATGCTTATTTATTATCCAGAGTAGTCATCACTTTGTTTTTGTGTACTTTATTTATTTTCTTACCTTAACCTGTCTAGTTGACCTTTTAATTTTCATATAAAAAATGTCTTAACAAGTATATGTGTGATCAGATTGTTCGAAATGTATTGCGCTAATATATCACATAATTCTGATAATCTTCGTCTTCTCATTGCATTATCGAAATTTATCAAAGGGACTAATTGTTTTAAATACTGTATAATTGAAAATTCCTTATTAGTCATTTGACAGTCAGCAGCAACTACAAAAGCCTAGAAGTGGCTGTTCAGAACCTGATTGGTTAGCAGAAAGATGGCACAAAATATGTAATTACATGAGGAAGGAACTTCGAACTACCAAGGTGTGCTATTTCACCTAATCAAGGTGACTGTAGATTAAACTTCATGGTGTACTGTGTTGTATATCACAATGTTGGTTGAAGTATGAATAGTTGTGGAATCTACGGCGGGTCAAACCAATGAATGACACGAGTCCTTGAAGTGGTTGACTGTTGTATTGAGGCGTATTGATGGGTGCGAATCATCTGTTTTGGGTCCGCGTGACCAATGGTTGGAAACGTAAGGCCAAATAAACCAGTGGCGCGGATGGGTTCACTCTTATTCCTATATGTATTGAACCTCAATTAATGTTCCCCGAACTCATTCTTTTTGGACAGTATTCTCCACTATTTAGTCTTTTTTCACTACGATCGATAATATTGTTTCTTCTCTGATAGTTTCCTTGTTAATTTCAACTCACCGTACTGTTGTGACAGGTTAATTAAAGTTGACTGATATTGTTTCTATTTACGCCAAAATTTACTTAACCCAGTTGTTGTGTTATAAACTTTTACTAATAGTATGACCGTGTGATGTTACTGGAGCTGGACCTGGGTTTCTTTTTAATAAGCGTACTTTACAAAACAGTAACTTGATATTCTCATAAAATTAATTAACTGTAGCTCAATAACCACGTGAACTCAGTATTGTAACTTAATTCTTGTGTGAGAGCCAGTACTACTATCGAGTTAAACAAACCAAAACAGTTTAGACAAAAATTAAGCCGGCAACCTGACACTGCCGTATTTTATGATTAATTCTAGTTATTTGTTGATTGCATGTATCTATTGTTGATCATTTGTGCTTTTTTACAGGTTGTCTTAACGGTGGTGGACAAGTAAAAGAAATTATGGCACAAACAAGCGAACTGTATGCAAGTCTTCCAGTTTTTGAACCGATGTCGAACGATTTAGTAAAGAACTTGTATGAATATATCAAATCAAAAGACCCTGACCTTAAATACCTACACACTACATACAAAACTGTTCCTAAGATTGAAATCATAAATCCCAGTGCATTAAAGTGGTGAATCACAGATTAACTCGAATGAAATAAATTATTTTTTGCAAACCTCGAGGCGAGTGTTAATATTTTTTGTCTTTTATTAAACACTTATTTAGGTGTCAGCTACAATTCAATTATTGTTATATAGGAATTAACTTGCTAGATCTACTATCAATTGATTTTCAGTTTCTCTTAGTCGTAGCTTTTCCAAAATATCCTTGTAACTCGATAATGCACATCAATCCTATGGTTCTATGTTTAAAAGAATACAGTTTACGCTCAACCGGCGAAATCGACAAAAACTACCACAGGTTCCTACATGTTAGCAGGATATAGATCGGATTAAAACATGTTCCATGGAGAATTGTGTTGGGGCACGCTGGTTGGCTGTTTCCTAACCAATCAGCACTAGTATAGACTTGGAGAGGACTCTAGAATCTTTTTATGAAAAAATTGTAAATATGCTAACGTTTTTTCTTATTTTGATTCCTACTTCCACCTACCCTTGTCATTTAGAATATAATTACTTTTCTGTTCAACCGTGTTCTAGTTTGGGGACCTGTCAAGTGAAGTAGTGTCCAAGGTTACTAAGCAATAAGAGTAGCTGGGTCGCAATAGGGGAAGCCATAACACACCAATGGGTGACATGAATCAAACTACAACGCACATTACTGATCCTTCATTTCTAAAACATTTTACACATGTTCAACATCATTTCGCACTTCATAAGCAATAACAGTAATAACGAAATGAGAAAATAAAATCGTAAAGGAGAATGGAAAACAATCAAATTAAAATGGATAGATCAAGATAAATGTTTACTTTATCAAAAAGGAGACTCTTGGAAAGAAAAAGTGGTAGGAATAAAGTTAACTAGACTTAAGATAAACTTGGTGATATACAACAAAATATTCCATGTTCTTCCGGATTAGTAGTCATTTGTAGTCCAGAATTCATTGTTATGACTGTATAGATAGTCATTTGTCTTCTCTGGACATGCCCCTCACATTGGCGTCGTCTGTTCCAGAATGCCTTTGTTTTAATTGACTGTTTAAAGCCTTTAAACGCTTTAATAGACTGGCATAATCGAAGATTCCTCGTCCATCTTCGAAAGGATCAACCATAGGTTGACCTGACAAATGCATATTTCGTTCACAAACGCTAATATAATATTCGTAATAATCCTCAAAACTAGATTCTACTACCGCGTATAAATCTGAAGGAAATGTTGTACGACGCTCTAATACATCACAAACTGCACATCGAATAGTTTCATGTGTAATTATTGCATTGTATTGTTGAGCATCACCCGGGCTACGTTCAGTGGTGAATCCAGGCTCATTAAAATACGGTTTATCGTTCATCAGAGATTGAATTGATATTAAAACTGAGGATAGGCTTTGTGCTGGTGTCCATTCGGGACCTTGCCAAGTACCGAGAACACTTAGACAAACCTATGGGGAGTGTGGTAAGTAAAAATCAATAAAAAGTACGAGTCTTATAAAATCTAACCGAAAATCTCTTTTTATTGGTAAATATCCCAAAAGGTTATGACAAGGGAAATTTTTTGAATGTATGTCCTTTACTGTATAATTTAATGTCCTCTGAACAACAATAATTGATTTAGAACTAGTGATATCGCTATTTTTCTATTTGTAAAACTGAAAGAAAAGCATGCAGAAACTCGGGTTTTGTGGGTTTTTGAGTTGTTCAGGTCGAACTTTTACTGAATATTCAACGATCCTTATGGTTCATATGTATGAGTGTGTTATCTGACTAGGCATCTGCACTACAAATAACAGTTCGTGCCTTCGAACCACTTCACATACACCAAGTACCAGAGAGTTTAGTGTTATCATAAAATTTATAAATGGTTCAGAACTAGTTACGTGAACCTATAAGTAGTTGCGATCGTTAGGCGCATATATCTAGGTCCATAACTTTCATACTGGTCCCGCCAATCTCAATTGATAACATTTTTCATATTATTGTATATTAGTCGGTCTCGAGATTCTTAAAAAGAACATCATATCTGTGTATATCTAAAAACTATGGCTGACTCGATGAAGAATCAATGAACACGGACAGCTCTGCAAAGAAAGTCAGATACAACGGGGAAAATGTACATTCCATCTAAAACAACTAGAATTAATAGCAAATTTAAATGTTATCACCCGCTAAGATCTTTATTATTATTATTATTATTATTATTATTATAGAACATACTAACTGCGATATATGATGGATCTAAGTATCTTTTGTTTTCCCGTAAGTAGCTTATTAGGAATTAACAATACCAATCGTTAAACAAATATATGAATTCAAAGAATGTGCAGTAAATACAAAAATCACTGGACATTATCAATACTATGTAAAATATTTTGCCAGATATATCATCGACTAAGATTTCATCTAGGTTATTATTAAAGTTCTAAACATACAACCAGTAATGGAATACCTTGGAACTGATCTTGAAGTAATCTGACTTTAAGACAGTGTGAAATTTCAGATAGTTGAGAGAGCATTTTTTACACAAAGTAATGCCGAACTGGCACTAATTTTTTCACATCAATCTTACCTTCCCGTTGGAATAGAAATTTGGATTAAATCTGACAGTACCATTCCCAGTAGTCATTAACTTCACCTTCGGCGGCATCAGTGGATATTCGGGTGGACATCGTATAAGAAACAAGAAAAAACCACCTTCATATGGTGTATCGAAGGGACCTGTGATCAATGCGTATATTTTTGTCATATCCTCATTGTCAGGTACGACACATATTCCAGGAGCTGGATCGCTGTCTGAAGTGAGAATACTTATTCATACAACTTACTTGCAAATGGAACGTAAGTCTTTAGTTATTCGGAGAAGACAGTCACTACTAGCCGGAACTTCGTTCGCTCTATGTTCTGGATCCCAACTGGCAATACTCTGAGATAGGAAGTGTTGAAAACTTGATGGTCCTATCTCTTTAACCGACTCCATTGAAAAAGTCACTACACTAGTGAGATATCTGTAATTAGAAATAAAGGAGTGCACAATGATAAAGAAATATTTACACATACTTTATTGGTTTTTAAGCTAGTTATTAATGCTGTAATATATAAATTTAAATCACAACACTTGAATCTACAGATAATTTTATAACGATTATTAAGTATGCAGGAGGTAGGGATGAAACTCTAGGGACCATTTTTCCTCGAAATTCGAGCTGCAATTCCATATCACCAAACATTTGTGATCGGTAAATTTGCTCTTAGTCTCACCTTTTTTAATTTTATTTAAATACATAAATATTGGTCCTACATTGTACAACAAACCTACTTGTTAATAATGAACTTTTAATGATTGAACTCTAGTTAAACCGGTCTAAGTTAGTATCAAGCTTTGTGCATAACGAGTACCACCATTCCCATGTCAAAAGCATGGGGCTAGCAGCATACACATTTGTCTTCTAGAAGCTATGTAGGTGCTGAATGTGCTATTATGAAGCGGAACAACGAGGAAAAAACTTATGATTGTGGTTTAAGGCATAGTTACTAAACTGTCAATGTGATGGAGACTCTACTATGATACAAAACGAAACATAGTTCATTAGATAAACAAAGATGGATAGTGGCTAGCAGTGGAATCCAGGATGCGCGTTTCGTCCCATTTGGGACTCGTCAAACAAACAATAAGTGAATAGTCCATTAGTATTCAGTGAAATAAATTCTGCACTATCTGGTGTATATAGCAATACTTTATTCATCAAACCAATCTAGTAAAGATAAGATTCCCTCAATAAGTAGTGGGTTAACTGAACCATAAGTGTTTTGTATGTATGAATCATAAAACTTAAAAAAAGATTTATTAATGTTGATATAGCCAAGAATGTAGTAATAAATGGTTGAATATGAAATTAATCACAAAAACACCCAACAAAATATATTAAATTCAAGGTCAGATACTGATAAGCAATCTGATATCAGCAGATAACTCAAATATGGTCAGGAAAATGTAAGTACAGTACATCAACCCAAATACCTGGTTACTAAAAACAACTAACAGTATAAAACTTATTACTGTGAGCCTTTGCCCCCAAATACCCTAGTACGGCCGAGGAAAGCGAGAGTCAGCTCTCCCTCTCCAAATGCTCTCACATAGCCACGCGTATACAGCCACTGACAGGAAAGTGCTGCTACTGCCTTCTTGTTATTATTTTCGTTAACGAAATTGAGAGGACGAAAACCAGATATCTGGCGCGTTAATCGGGCTAGTGAGTACGGAGAATCCATCTAGAGGAGCTGGAAAACCCTGATTCCCAACAGATGGAGTACATGGACTCCAGGATCATAAAGGAACAAATGGAGTATGGACCAACTATTGTTCACTGGTTATCATGGAACTGCATCTACTGGCGTTGCTGCACTACCTTGTGGGTCAGACCTTTAGGTCGTAGGTTCCGGGTGTGGCCCCCTAAGAAAACCCATCTGCTTCGGTCTGGGCACCCGGGCAGTATCACGGCCCACGCACAAATCAAGTGACTTGTGTGACGCATATGTACTCGGTGCCCTTTTGTACCAATATTTGTGTTCAAATAAATGAGCCTTTACAAGACGGACAAAATGAGGGATGTAAAATCCAAATGGTTATCCCATAGACACGTTTTTTCCGTACAAAACGTTAGGGAGTTTGTTAGTGGCTAAAGAGAATAACCGAGGCAAATGATAAAATTAAGACACCAACTAAAGTGAAACATCGGAATTACTCGTTTTAAACAGAAGTTCTATGAGGTCGATAATTAAATGTACCATAAATGAAGATAAGATTCATCAAGCACGGAAAAGGCGAGTTGCTTAAGTTGTTTGATCTTGTTATGCTTGACACTAAATCGATTCCGCGGTAACGAACGATAAGCCAATGACACGATAAGCTACTCTAATCTGTTGTCCCAGGCCCCGCTAACTAGATGAAGAATTCCAAGGCAAGTAGGGGAATGTATATGTATTCCGTAAGCAGCCGAGTACAAGCAATCCAATAAGGGGAGGAGTCAAGCGCATTTATACAGCAACAAATTGTCCTTGAGCATTATTAGTAAATAGCACACACAAAGAAACAACGGACCAATAGCGCTTAAGATAGTTTACAAGTGGGAAAATGACGTGAAGGTAAAAGGAGCGCTTTTGGCGCGAAAACAGCTAAATTCAAATTTTCAAAATAAAACTACAAGATTAAGCCATTTACCAAGTAAGTTCTGGGGATTTGACATCCCCAACAGATCTCATGTCCCATCACTACTGCAAACAGTACTAGTGTGCCGACTGATGGAAAGTATAAATGGTAACATGAATGAGGAAAGTAATTAAAGCAGTTAACAGACCCATAAGGGAAAGCTTATGTGAACAAAACAAGTGTTGTAACAAAAAAAGTCCCAGAGTGAACATCAACTCAGATGCAGGTACGTCCAGCTGACGAGTCCCAAATAGGACGAAACGCGCGTCCTGGATTCCACTGCTAGCCACTATCCATCTCTGCTTACCATGCTTGTGAATAAAGGTATATCGAGGCAATACGCACAGTATGCACATATGCCAATTAGAGACTGACCAGTTGCAGTCCTAACACATCGATGGGAAGATTCAAACAAACAATACTAAGTGAATTCAAAAAAGGGTATATTACAATACAATGGGTAGGAAGATTTTCCACTAAAAAATTAAATCTTAAAGGAGTCTCAGAATTAACTAAAAAAGACGACACGAATAAATACTAATCATGAGGAAACGATTTGCCATTCCAGTTGGCTTGAAACTGCATTTTTTCAAGTGCGACAGATTTGGTCCATCGTTTAAAACACAATATTGTATCCTAATTAATGCGTAAAGGAAGCATATACATTATTCTGATCACAAATTTGTAAACGATGGCCAACAAACAGGTAGTTTTGTAGAATTTTCAAAATTAATACTTTTTTCGACGCCAACTTATCTATTATCATCAATTTACTAAATCAGAAAAGAGCAAAAGTATGACTATTTTTCTAAGGCAATTTCGGCGAGAATATAATTAATGGACGTACCAGTCAGGTATAAGATAACAGGTCTTGGGTTTTGGTGCGAAATTCACTAATCCATTTGGCTAAAGATAGGGCGAGACTAAACGATATGGACGAGCCAATCAGAAGCCTTCGCGGGTTTTCAAGGTCACGGAGCTAAGTTCGGTACCTGATGCTTACATACGGTCGGTTTACAACGGATTTTAGAGAAGACGTGATAATTCAGCGTCTACAAGAGAAGTGATCATAAGATTTCGGCGCGAAATTCAATTACCCATTTGTATAAGAGTTTTGGCATTATAGCTGATGTCAGTTCGTGATGAAAACCCTAAGTATAAGCATGAGCTGTAAATCATAATTTGAATTCTTCACACAGGTTTATAACCCTCATTCTGTCTTAGTTATTATGTTGACACTCTCAGAGTCACTCTAACGTCGCTTAAAGGTCGTCCATAATATATAGTACCATCCTTAACCCTAAGCCATAACTTTAAACTTAAACTCCAAACCATACCAATATACCAACAACATTGAAGCTGTCTGGTGGAGGCTAAAAGAATTTTTGAGACTTTATCATGGTTTCAGAGGTCGATTACTATGGTGCCATATGGATGTGTTCCTGTAACATATGCACTATGATTTTAGAACTTTTGAACCTATATCCGACCTTGAGAAGTTTTTGACTCATGTAAAAGAAGTGTATCCACTTTAATTCTTTGGTTTTGTATAATAAATTTTTACTGTACACTGTCGTCGGATTGGCTAATATTTCTCAAGGTCATTTAAGATTCGTTCAAAGGTCGTCCGTATAGTTTAGTCTCGCCGTGTAATCTACGTTTATCTAGCTTTAAGGCGTCGGAAGACACTTCTATGGTGACTTTATCATAAAGGGCACACGGAAAGTATCAGCCAATGTAAGTTCTTCCTCTAACTCCACGACTACTTGCCTAGCAACTTGGGCAGTATTAAATTTTCATGAAGCAGAAAACCACTTAGTTTTTAACTGCTGAAACTTTGGGGAACGTTGTGTAAACTTAGAGGAATTCCCTCAAAATCAAAGTGGATTTTGCGATACGTGAGAATCCGGTTCACACACAATGTACGTACATTGTGTTCATTCCGAAGGTGAATATACCCGAAGACTAGGCGAAATTCCAAGCAGATGATAATATTATTTCTAGCCATTCGTATTGTAGTTTGATGAATTTCGATAAATGTTTCCCAAAGTTGGGAGTTTAAACTCCCAAGGTTAACTTACCGAGTAGAGTGTGGGGACCATTAGATCGGAAAACCCGTACCTTTCATATTCCGCGGTAACGTTTAAATAGTTGTTTCAGTTTCAGTTTAGAAATAACAGGAGGCTTGATGGCCTGTGTTAGTCCTGGCAATGATGGTCTCTCAGCTGATCCAACTTTCCTTTGAAGGAGTCGACGGATGGAGCCTCAACCACGTGCTGAGGTAATGAATCCCACTCGTTGATGATTCGATGGGAAAGTCGGTAGTCAGCTGACAAGTAATTCGTTCTGGGCTTGTGAACTTCTTTGGAGTGTCCTCGTAGATTTTCTGTTTTGGAAGACAAGAAAAATGAGGGCATATCAGGTGCAAATTTGTCATTAAGCAATATGACAGCGGGAATAGGTTTAGCTTGGTCAGTCTAGTACCATACAGAAGCTTCGCTATTCCGGGAATCAGCCTAGTTGCTGTTCTCTGAACCCTTTCCAAGAGTTCACTGTCTTTTTTAGGCAAGGGCTAGCTGCTTGTATACAGTACTCAAGTTTAGGACGTACGAACACTGTATACAAAGTCAGAAACGTCTTAGCGTCGTGATGCCTAAAAGCCCTGCGTATGGACCATAAAGTCCTAAAACCTTTGGCGGCTATTGCACGGCAGTGTGCAGTAGTCTTTAAGTTTTGACTGACGATGACACCTAAGTCATTGTGTGCCTGAACAATAGGTAACTCAGTGTTATTCATCGTGTATGTATCTGTACCCTGGTGGCCAATATGCATCACAATACACTTGGAAGTGTTTATCGGCAATTGCCAGGTTTGGGACCATTCAGATAATTTCTCCAGGTCATTTTGAAATTCTAAGCTATCGCCCTTGCTTTTTATCGCTCTCCATATTTTGACATCGTCAGCATAGAGTAAGACCGATGACAATAGTAGACGAGGGAGATCATTTACATACAGGAGGAATAACACTGGCCCCAAAACTGTACTTTGGGGGACTCCACTAAGCACAGTTTCCCAGCTAGACAACTTGGAGTTCACCCTTACTCTTTGTTGACGCCCAACTAGGAAGTCTTTTATCCACACCAATAAATTGCCTCCAATCCCGACATTCCTTAGCTTATATAACAGTCGGTTATGCGGAACTTTGTCGAAAGCTTTGCTGAAATCGATGTAAGCTATGTCTATAGGTAATTTTTGGTACTTAAGAGCGCACCAGCTTCCACGAGCGACTAATAAGTTTGTGAGACAAGAGTAACCTGTTCTAAAACCATGCTGCTTTTCGGAGAGGATCCGGTTTTCATCGAGATACTTTAACAGTTCCTTCCGAATAATCTTTTCTAAGATTTTAACAACCACACCAGTTAGGCTAATTGGTCGGTAATTCTCAGGCTTATGTTTTGAACCTGTTTTGAAGACTGGACTTACTATGGCGTTCTTCCAGTCTTTTGGTAGACGACCCTGGGTTACGGATTGATTAAAACATACACTTAAAGGGTTCGCAACAAAGTTAGCTAATTCCTTTAGTAACCTAGGATGCGGTTCATCGGGTCCAGTGGATTTACCTATGTCAAGATTAACTAGCAGACCAAAGACATCGAGCTCTTTAATGGTTACGCTGTCCAGTGCTTGTGTGGGTGGATTTTCATGGACTGGTGAGAAGGGTGTTTCTATGGTGTATACATTGCTAAAGTATTTAGAGAATACTTGAGCTTTGCCAAAGTCGTCTTCCACTAGTGATGTGGCAGTACTGTCTCCCCATAGTGAATGAATATTTCTTCTTCTGTTTACCCTTTGGTTTATATACGAATACAAGCGTTTAGGGCATTCTATGGATTCCCTAACGATTTTCTCTTCGTACAGCTTTCTGGCCTTACGGAGGGTCGAGGCACAGGTATTTCGAACCTTTTGATACTGAGATTTTGCCTCGTCAGTCCCCAGTAACCTAAATCTGTCCCACATTTTCCTTCTTTTACGGAGAAGGATGCTAACCCCCCTACTGAATCACGGTGGGGAGTTTCTCGGTCTCTTAGGTGTAGTCCAAGGGATGTGGGGGGTGGTAACTTTTAAGTATAAATTCCGGAAAACGTCCCAAGCCGTTTCGATTGATGACTCTGGGTCTAATTTCCAATCTACTAATGATGCTGATTTCATGATGTTTGGTATGTTTGCTTTCCAGACGTTAGGTCTGGATTGAGCTGAAGCGTACTCGTGATCGACAGTTATATGGAAGTCAAAGCTTAAAACTGCATGATCACTTTTGCCTAGGGATGGCATGTAATCCAGGTTTGCAACATCATCCTCATAATGAGTCAATATAAGATCTAGTAAGGATGATGCAGAACCCGGGTCGTACCTAGTTGTCGATTCAGTTTCACTTTGGAAAAGAGGGGAAGTTAGCTGGCTTGTATCGGTTCTGGCAATTTCGGTCTCTCAGATGATCTAACATTATTTGGAAGCGTCGACGTTGTTCCAATCACGTGTTAAGGTAACGAGTTCTATTGGTCGTTGATTCGATGGAAAAGTTGATAATCAGCTGACATGTAATTTGTTATAGGCTTGTGAACTATTTTTGGAGTGTCTGCGTAAATGTTTTGCTTTGAAAGATAAGAAAATGAGGATGCATCAAGTTCGAATTTATCTGCAGGTAGTTTAGAGTCTGTGACGAAGTCGTCTCTGGTTGTTGTATATGACAGTGGAAATAAGCTTAGATTAGTCAGTCAGACATCACACAGGGCTTTGACTTTCAAGGAACTAGCTCATCTGAAGTTCTTTGAGCCTCTTCCAACGGCTCACTGTTTTTTTTCAGACACAGACCAGCCGCTTGTACGCAGTACTCCAGTTTGGGACGAACGAATAATGTACATAAAAGCGAAAAAGCTCTACGTATTTATCATAGGTTTCTTAAACCATTGGTAGCTACCTCACAGCAGTGATTAATATTTTTTAAGTCTTGTCTAACGATGACTTCTAGGTCATTGTGTGTAGCTCAATGTAGGTAGCTCAGTGTTATTCACCGTGTATTTTTCTGTACCTTGGTAACCAATATGCATGATAATGCACTTGAAAACATTTATCAGCGACTACCAAATGTTTGACCATTCAGATCATTTGTCCACGTCATTTTGAAGCTCCAAAGTATCACCGATGGTGATAGGAGACTAGAAAAGTCATCTACGTACACGAGTAACAACATACCCCATAACTGTACTGCGAGACGCATTGCTAAGTACAATCCTCCAGCTAGACAATTTCGAGTTCACGTGTACTCTTTGTTGACAGCCAACTAGGAAGTTCGCTATTCAAATAAATATATTGCCTCCAATCACGATATAACTTAGCTTATATAACAGCCGGTTGAGAGGAACTTTGTCAAAAGTCATACTTAAGTCAATGCAGGCTGAATCTACTGGTAGCTTTTGCTACATAATCGTTCAACTTCCAAGGGCAACTAATAAGTTTTCGGAACATGAATCACCTGTTCTAATGCCATACTGTTCTTTAGAAAAAATCCGGTTTTTGTCTAGATACTTAAACAACTTCCGAATAACATTTCTGGCCAGGCTTACTTGTCGATGGTTCTCAGGTTTGTGTCTCATACCTGTTTTGAAGACAGGATTAAGTATGGCATTCTTCCAGTTCTGTGTTAATCAACCCTGGGTTACAGATAGATTAAAACATGTGCCTAAGGGATTTGTAGCAAAATTCACTAATTTCTTCAGTAACAGTGGATGCATTTCATGGGGTCCCTTTTATTTACCTATGTCAAGCTCATTTAACAGGCTAATAAAATCAGTTTCTTTAGTGGTTATAGTGTCCGGAATGTATATGTAAGGGGTTGCATGAAATGATGAGTGCATCTCTTCGGTATATACACTGCTAAAGTATTTTGAGAATATCTAGGCTTTACAATAAACGTCATCTACTAATGTTGGAGTACTACTTTCTCCCAATAATGCTGTAAATTTTGCCTCTTCTCTTAGTCTTTTGGTTTATGCACGAATGTTGGCATTTGGGGTATTCCATAGACTCCTTGACGAGCTCGTCTTCATACAATCTCCTGGACTTGCGGAGAACCAAGGCAAAAATTTTGGACTTTCTGGCATTAAGAATTTGTCTCGTCACCACCCAGTAGCCTGACTGTCACCCACATTCTTCTCCTATGGAGAGGCCTGTTTAACCTCTATACTGAACCACGGTGGAGAGTTTCTTGGACTCCCTGGTGTAGACCAAGGGATGTGCGGTGAGCAGCTTTTGTGTACAAAATGCTGAATATTTCACAAGCCATTTCAATGATGTACTCTAGTTCCATTTTCCGATTTGCTGAAGATGTTTATAATTTGTGTATAATTTCTTGTATATTTGATTTCCACATGTTTGATCTTACTTGGGTTTACTTACCGTCGTTTACAACGATATGGAAATCAGAGATTCGAACTGCATGGTCAATTTTACCTATAGGCGGAATGCAGTGGGGTTTGTGAGATCTAATAAGTCTGATTCAGAGTTCAGGTCTTCCCCAATTGCTTCTTTCAGATGTTTGTGTTTATTCTATATTATTAAGTTACTCCGGAATATTCAAATACCACTTTCAGCAGTCCAGTATATTTTTTCAAGTCGGTTCGGCTATCTGGTCCATGAACTTTAAGTAAGGTGACCTTAGAGATATCTCGAGACATAATCTGGTTGCGTAAATATATTATCAACTCAATATCACCCTCAAGGCGAGTTCTGGATTCTCAACTTTCACCCTCCTTGTCTCTGTGAAAAACTACTAACTTGTCACTATGATCAACCTTCTACTTCTCGTGTCCTTTTTGGGAGGTTGACTTCTGGATCATTCCGGATTCTCTCTTTGTACACACCCAGCAACTTTGTCTGAAATAACAATTTGAATCCCGCTACACATATTGTTGGACCCTGGATGACCGACAATAACTTAGGTTGTCAGGTTGATTTTCATGCTAGAAACAGATTTAGCATGAAGATTAGCTTTTCTAGACCTTCTTCACACAGAGAGACGTCACAACATTACAAACAATGCAATGTGTTACAACTGTAACTGTAATCGAAACAGTTCAGAGAAGTGTGAGAGAAAAGAATTGACTGAAAACAAAGTTTTCAGAGTGTAGTGGGCTGCTAAATTAAATCATAAGTCGTATATCACAAAG